AGACAGCATTCAACTCCCCAGAACCCAATCACACCACCATTCTTGGCAATATTCTCTGTAAGTCTTTTACTTTGAGCAGCAAATATTTTCTTTTAAAATTTTACACAGGAGCAAATATTCATTCATGTGCACATCGTGGGCCTGAAATATTTTGCTCCTCCATTTCAAACTCAACTTGGGATTTCAAAAATATATCTCAAGAGTACAGGTTGATCAGTGAAAGGACCTTGGAAACATTTAAGCAGAGAGCCGGCATTAAAAGAAAAAAGACTGATGTTATTGCTAACACACAAGAATGTGGCTGTCTTTCCCATAGTTGATAGTGACTTGTGGACCCTATCAAGAAGGGACCAAACTGATTTGCTTCAAGACAATACAGGAGAGGTGGAGGTTGGGGGTGGGCGGGTAGAGCTGAAACAAGACTGGCATTGAGATGATAACTAATCGTTAATAAAATACTGGATGATGGATATATGACACTCCCTTGTACAACTTTATGTTTAAAACTTTTCCATAATAAAAAGTTTTTTTGTTGTTTTGTTAGTTTGTTTTTAAGAATGAGCCAAATATACTCATGCCAGCCTCAATCTTGTCTACAGGGAACAGACACACTGAGAAAAACTCAATTTGTGAAACTTCTCAACAGTTATTCAAATCCAAAAACATAATTTTTTCCAATTTTTCTTGTAAATCTTTTGAGTTTCTGCAACAAAAACATTTTTTATAAATTACATCACATTTTAATCAAGATGAAAATTTGGATTTAAACAATGTGGAAATTTGCTTAGAAGTGTGCTCTAAGGATGTGAAATCTTTCATTTATGATTGAAGTCAATTTATCTGAGCCTTTGCCTTAAGCTTTAGAGTGACAATATAAAAATTTCTTCCTTGAAACAGTAAACTACAGAGCTGACATATAACTGATATTTCTTTGACTGACTATTACAGTGTTTCAAATGCTTACCTTTCCACTACTTTGAACACAAAATGATAGTGTTTTTTTATTTTTACAGTGCTAATTTTGTAAAGCCCCATTTGGAGGTTTAATTTTTTTAATACTGTCATTTCAAATTCTGTTTGATGCTGAAACAAATTTTACACAAGCAGACACAAAATATCTTCAGATTAAACCAGTGGTTCTAAGCCAGTGGGACAATTTACCCCTACCCACACCCCCAGGGACATTTGGTAATGTCTAGAGACATTTTTGGGTGTCACAACTCAGGGGAGCTAGTGGCATGTAGTGGGTAGGGGCCAGGGGTGCTGCTAAACATCCTACAAGGCACAGGACAGCCCCCCACAACAAAAAAATTATCTGTCCCAGAAAGTCAGTTGTGCCATGGTTGAGAAACCCTGGACTAAAGAGAGAGAATGCCTGGAAATATTCGCAGTTGCCACTCTAAGGAGCAGGCCATGATTTTGCCTAGCTGGCACAACCCATGAATGAGTGTTCCAGGCTTCATAATAATGGAAGTCTCCGGTGGACACAAGGATACATATTCTGTATGTACAAAATATTGGTTAGCCTGTACATTTTATCATCAGAAATCATGCTCACACCATAATTTTCCACTTTCTTGCTTTTAATCTTTTGTGACATATATATGTTTTATTGAAATGCTTACTAGTCCGAGTTAGTTATAATTTGCGGCAATATTGGACTTTCTAAAGCATTTTGATGATTTATGGGCCCAGTAAAATAGACTGAAATCCTGAGATGTATGGGAAAGTGGGCCTGGGAGTGGGGAGTATCTGCTTGGGAGTTTGGAGGCTGAGTCACCCGGGAGGGGCCACCTGGAGGAAGAGAGGTCATGAAACCCAGGGAGCTACAGCTCCATGCCCTGCTGTGAGGCCAGCAGGAGAGGCAAGGGACTAGCTAGGCTGGACCCAGGCCTGCTTCCCTAATCTAATTCTAAGGAACCTTGAACAGACTCCTCAACTGAGCTACCCAACTGCCACTAAAATTTTCAAGTGGGGGGTCAGCCCGGTGGCGCAGGTGGTTAAGTGCGTGCGCTCCGCTGCAGCGGCCTAGAGTTCGCCAGTTTGGATCCCGGGCGCGCACCAATGCACCGCTTGGCAAGCCATGCTGTAGCAGCGTCCCACATAAAGTGGAGGAAGATGGCTATGGATGTTAACCCAGGGCCAGTCTTCCTCAGCAAAAAGAGGAGGATTGGCAGATGTTAGCTCAGGGCCGATCTTCCTCACACACACAAAAAAATTCTCAAGTGGGACCCCCCCCCCCTTGCGAGCTTCCCTCTAGAAGTAGTGGTGGGAGAAAGAAAATGGATTCATTTATTTATGCTTGAGGATCACAGGAACTTTTGAGGGTGGCAAGAAAAGACAAAGACATTTAGCTGCTCTCTTTACTTCTAATTTAACTAGAAAAGTGTCTCATAAAATGATGTCACATGGAAGCAGTAGCCTTTCTGTAGAAGCGTATTCCTTTATTCTCTCTCAGGGGCTGCCAACCATGGGTGCATCTTAGAATCAAATGAGTAGCTTTAAAAAAAAAAAAAAAAATCCCAACACCCAGGCCTTGCCCCAGACAAATGGAATCAGAATCTCCCAGGGTGTGAATGATGGAAAAAATGGAATGATACTTCAAGAAGAGCATATTCACGGCACCTCTAATTTTGGGAACTATGTTCTCTGAAAGTGCCAGGGAGGGAGGTAATAAAGTTTATTTAAGGATTATGTTGTTAAAGATTGTCATCTTTGGGATACATGAAAACATTATAGAAGAAATACAGTCCTCTTTAATGCAGAAGCACCGAGGATTAACAAATTAGGGGGAAGATATTAGAGAATGAAAGAAATATTAATTCTGAGGATACCACCTGAACTACATGGCAACATGTTGAAACAAAAGATCATAACACGTTGCTAGTGAACTTCAGACAGTGACCCTCACTGAATACCAAAAATGTCCTGTTTTTTAAATTAAAATGGTCCCCAACTTTAATCTTCCACAAAATGAAGCTAGAAAAGAGTGGGATGAGATTTCTGATATTAAAACCAATGAAGAGGAAAATTGGTTTGTGTGTTTGATCTATCACTGGACTTTGTCAAGTTCCAACAAAAGAACTATGTACACTGAAATGCTGGAAGGATGAAGATCTTCAGTTAGATAAGAGGGTTTGTAAAGAAACAGTTTGGGCACAAATTTTTCTATGGTTAAAAAAATGTTCCTTTAAAAAAAGGTAAAAGTCAGAAATGACATTTTTCATGAAAGTCAGTTTGCAAAGAAATCCAAAGGTGCACTTGAGTTTGGCCAGTACCTTCTGGCATAAGATCTATTTCTACTTTAGAATGAATGGAATCCATTCACAATATTCACATCAAAGTAGATTGCTGACTTAGTTTTTCTTGTGTAAATTCTCACTTTGCCTTACCTTGCAGAAATTCTGCCCAATGAAGTCCCAGCTTCAGGGAGAGACCATCTTAAGGGCTGGAAGAAACGGCAACATGATCTTTACAGCACAACACTTTGTATGAATCTGCATGAAGCGTGATTACAAGCTTTTTGAAACAATTATTTGAAACTAACTTTGGTAACAAGCTAAAAAATAATAACCAAATAGAACTGTACACTAAAAAAAGGGAGCATTATTCCTCAATAAAAATAATAACCAAAGGGTTTATAACTTTGTCATTCTAATGACAAAGTTCTGTTTTTCTTTGGATGGCAGTGAGTGAGTCAGTAGGTACAGTTGTAAGTTGTCACACAAACTTCACATTCGTTCTCTTGGCTATGTACATATAGTCTACCTCTCTAGGTCGTGATTTTTTAAAAAAATTGAGGTGGTATCTGTAAAAGTAAAATTTTAAAAAAGTTATATGTTTTCTAACTGGGGTGAAAATGGATGATTGGCCCTAGGAAGTTTTTACCACTTATGAAAAAGGATGTATCAAACATTATATGAAAACAACATTTAGCAAAATTGCAGAAGTGCCTGTTTCTTTACCCATAATTCCACTTGCTGAAGTCTAATTTTTTTCCAACAAATTCGCTGAGGAATGTTTCTTGAACATAAACTACACTAAACCGAAAATAATACTTCCATGACCAAGTATGGTAATTAGCACAGCAAAATCCCATACATTTATGGGACATGTTAGCCCCAGGGGTAAAGTTCTACACAATGTACAATTCTTAAGCCCTGGCTGAGTAAATAACTACAAAATGGACAATTTTTTTTTTTTTTTGCAATGGTTAGTGGGTTGGCATTGTCAAGTTTAGCCAGTTAAACACATTCCATAAGTTGTTTATTTGTGATGTTGGATCCATTTACAATACTTGGTGGGTTTTTCAAGGCCAGGCTACATTGGCATCACCGTCCGGCTAGCACCTCGCACCTGCCTAACCACCAATGATAAACACTACATCATTATTTGCTGAATCAACACAGTGAAATCCCATGAGTCCATTCCTGATTACAATCAGTTTTGCATGTCATAATTTTCCTTCATGCTCCAAAACCTCACAGATTTACACATTGTTTATTTTTTGTACTACCTTAAAATTCATGCAAACAGAACTTTCCTGTATGTAAAATGAAAATGCACATACTGTTAGTGCTATTTTACCAACTTTGGAGTCTTTACCCATTTTAGAATGTGGGCTGTATAGGAATATACTTGTAATAAAAACTGACGACAACGTTGACAAAAATAAGGATATAATATTAAAATAAATCAAATGATGTACAATACTGTCATTATTCTGATACAGAATTTTTACACAGCAATATTGATACAGGTACAAATGGCAGGATGTCAGGCAATCCATTACAATAGACCTTTTGGTTACAAATAAAGTTTAAATTACAACTTAATACTGATTTAAAAAGGCTAACTAGTGTTATGCCAGATTAAAATCAATGCTTCCTCTTCAAGTGACATTTTCTGGAACAACTCTAACTATGAGACTTAAAAAAAAAAACTTTATAAAAAGAAATAAATAAATATAATATTGTATTGGAAAAGTCTTTTTTAAAAAAAACCCAAACTACAAATCTGGACTAAACTAATCCGACTTTCCATGTCTTCTGTCCTCACACCAGTCAAACAGCAGACCTGAAGTCCACTTGCATAGACAAGTTCAGTGGAAGTTTAGAAGCACCCCACCTCCACTCCATATAAGAGAACTTTGGAGTGTCTGGTTCAACTACAGACTCTTTTCACTGTTTAAGTATCAGGCAAAAAGCTTGATTCTTATCAGTGATTCCGCCAGCAAGTTAAAGGATACGGACCCCATGCACACACTTTAAAATGCTAGAGGGTCAGAGAGGGAAACGGCAAAGAATAGAGTGACAGACTTAAAATTCTTTGAGGAGTGAGAGACCAAAAGGGCTGTATGTGTGCGTGTGTGTGTATGTGTGTGTCTGGGGCAGGGCTGGGGGGATGGGAGTTTAAGAAAAAAAGTTTCTGTAACAAAATATCAAATTCTTATTGTCCTCATTTTTGTAAAAATGGGTGAGTTATTGGCATAAAGAAAAGCCAAACCAAACCAAAACACAAACAGGGACATGAGAACTGGTTCCATAATGCCTTGCACTTTACATTTCTATCCAAAACTAAAATCCTCCTTCAATAAAAAAAAATACATCATTTAAAAATCAAAGATAGAAATGTTACTCGGAAAGTTGAGGAAGCAACAGCATTTCTTTCTGGCATATTATTTGTTTGGCACAATCACAAGTAAATAGACTTTACAGACATCACGCGGCTGTTCACATTTCAAATTTCTACTCTAAAGTGATTACTTTCGGGCTAAACAAACAAATCGATTAAATGAGGTCCGTAAACAGGACAAGCCCGGCATACATGGACACGTGTGATGCATTCTCCGCCCGAAAAATGGAACCTAAAATAAAAAAGAAAACTGAGTGAGAGCAGGAAACATTAAAAAAAAAAAAAAAAAAGCCAAACTATTCTTGAGAAATATCTTGAATAATAATAGCTAGTGTTTATTGAGTGTTAACTATTTACCAAGCAATATGCTCAGCACCTTTTTACGTATTATCCTTTCCCATCCTTACAACCACTCTGTGAAGATGGAAAGTACTTCAATTATACCCATTTTATAGCTGAGAGACTGAGGCACAGAGAGATCAGTAACTTGCCCAAGGTCACATATCCAGAACTTGAAGCTTGGCTGGCAATTGGACCACAAAGACCAAGCTTTTAACCACCAAGCTATACCACCTTTTACTTTTTCTCATTTTAATTCTTTTTATGGTGTCTTGCTGCCGAAGCTCCTTAAGGAGAGCATAACATTATGGGTAGGACTACATCTATATAATGAGCAAATATAAATTCACTGACAATGAGCAATATATAAATTCACACACAGATGTCAGAAAGAGTCAGAATTCCGGGAGATGGGAGGAAGAGCAAAAGAAAATTAGGGAAGGAGGTAAGCTCGATTTGCAGAAATGGAACAAGCCAAACCCCGGCCTAGGGAGAGCCAGCAGTGAAAGGTCGGCTTCATTCTAAGGGTCACTCAACCGATATTTCTCAGAGCCCTCTGCCCCTGCCACCAGTGAAGCCGGGTTGACAGGTCAACCAGTAACCGGCACGGTGGTTCTCCGTGCCGGGGCAAGTCGACCACCCTCAAAATATGTACGCTTTCTAGGGTGAATAGCAAAAATCATCCTCCCTCCCCTGGGAACAGCACCCTCTTGAGAATCTGCCCGCTTTGCAAGTTATAGGGAGAAAGTTTAACCCCAGGCCCTGGAGGCAGTTGATTGGCAATGAAATGGATGGCAAATTACTCCGATTCAGGGTAATGCAAGAGAGGTAAGCTATTACAGACTCATGCCTCAGGGATCCTTCTACAGTTTACACATGGCAGAAAACTGCATCCTTCCTGTTTCCCAACTCAAATGCTTTATTCTGTATCATTCGAGTGCATTTCCTATTCTATTCCACCAAAAGAGGCCGCCCCAGACCAATTACCTGTCCTTAGGAGAAAATCTGAGATGCATCTTCCAGATACTTTCTAAACAGTTTCTTTATACATAGAGAAAGGCTGTCTGCAGACAGTGGCAGAACCATTCTAACCTCATTTTTGGGTTGAATGATAGGACGGATCCAAGTCTACACAGTCCCACAAGGGTCAAGGCTAATTATTCTGGGTGTTATCTTTGGGTGGTACCATGCTCAGGTTCTTCTTACCTCCTTTTTCCTTTTTCTTCTCTTCCTCTTTCTTCTTTCCTGCCTTCCATTTCCAAAATGGTTCTGGAAGGGCCAGGGAGATGATCGAGATCAATAAATACAAAGGGAAGAAAGGGAAGCAGTAGGAGGGCAGGGAATGTATATGGCAATCAGGCAGAGCCATCCCAGCTCCTTCGTCTTTTTGCAAGGGCATTACTTTCAAAGATCTAACGACAGTGTCTACACGTGGGCACCATGGCTGTCAGCTCCATGCAGACTTGTGCTCAGAATGGTTCTGTCACTGTGTGAGTCAAAGGGTACATGGATGGCTGGCTCATTCGTTGGCACCGAGAATATGTCAGAGGAGGTGGGTACAGCTGGATTGGCTTGGACAATTACAGGTAGATAGTGGAGAAGTGATAACCCACAACCTTTACGATCTGTTCTGACCCTAAGACTTTAAGAGCTTCCTTTCGCTAAGTCTAAAACTACTGCATCGGCCAGTGGTTCTCAATCCGGCGTGATTCTGCCCCTCAGGGGACATCTGGCAATGTCCAGAGACATTTCTGTTTGTCACAACTTGGAGGAAGGGGTGTTAATAATGTCAAGTGGGTAGAGGCCAGGGATGCTGCTAAACATTCTACATTTCACAGGACACCCCTCCACAGCAAAGAATTATCCGGCTAAAATGCCAAATAGTGCAGAGGCAGCAATATCCAAGTAAAAGGAGCCTGAAACAAGTGAACTATAACTATAATGATCATGTCACATTGTTATACATGGAAAACACCAAGCACGTTTCTTTTATTCATTCTTTCAACAGATATTTACTGAATGTCACCAACATATGCGGCCCTGTTTTAGGTGCTGTGGGCACAAAGACGAACAAAACAGAAAAGGCCCCTGCCCATCGCAGAGCTTAAATTTTAATGATGAAAGATAGATAACCAGTAAGATAGTTTCAACTACGAATAAGTGCCTTCATGGTGCTTACAGTCCTGTGCTTGGTGCATCATGACGCCATGGTCACTCTTTGGCCTGTCATGTGGGTTCTCAGTGCCCTGAAAACAGCAGAAAAGAAAAACAAGACTGGCGGCCTGCCATGGGCCAGGCGTCACAAGGCATCGTGTATAAACATCACACCAAACCCGTGTGCCAGGTTTTCATCGTGTTTTGACATAAGCTAAGTGGCTTCCTCTTGAGGTGAGGTGAGGAAGTAACACACTTGACTGAAGTCACCAAGCTAGAAAGGGAACATGTCATAGTCAAACCCAGTCCCACTTTCTTCCAAATTTTGCTCTCTTCTCAAATAGCACCATTCCCAGACTTCGGGCTCTTTGAGAATGGGACTCTTATTTACGAGCACATAGCACTTAGCCTGGTACGTAGGAGACACACGAGAAGAGAGATCTGTTAAATGCCTATCCTCCACCAATGCCCCCACCATAGGCTGTGAACTCCCTGAAGGTAAAGGGGTGACCTTCTCAGGCCCTGTGGCTTCCCCTGTCCCCCCATACCACTGCCTGGCACTGAGCAGGGCCAACATGATTCACGCCACCGAACTCAGAGACGGACTTACCCTGAAGGCAAAGAAGCTGAAGGCCCTCACTTGCGTAGACCCCTCCAGGGCCTAGAAGGGGCCCTGGCAATCTGTTCACAAGCTCATGTTTCTGTGGAACTTTCAACAATATCTTTGTATTATTTGTTTCCTTGTCGAGGGCACCAAGACAGTAAAAGCCTCAACCTAGATGTGTCCTAACCAACCTTAACATAATCATTAGACTGTCCTGTAGGTCCCCTTATACCTGGATGCCCTTTTCTTATTCTTAACAAATCCATTCCCTTTTTCAAGATCCAGTCTGTGTTTCTCCCTCCCTCCCTCCCGCAAGCCTTTCTTAACTGCACCAGCCCATAGCAGTTTCCCTCTTCCCCTTCCATCTGTGAGCTCCTAATGACCAAGACCACAATTTCTGATATGATACACTCAGCAGATCCTTGCCAATTTCTCAAAGAGCCCATTCACTTCTAGATCTACGTACACTGTGTGACAAACCCGATAGTCACAAATGCATGACAGAGTGTTTACAGAAGATGCATATTCAGACGTACAAATACAGCCAAGGAGCTAACCATTCAGCCCAAACTTGATGCTTTACTTTAGAATCAACTGTGCATTCAGTCCAAAGTTTCTAATCACCTAGAATTCCAAACAGAAAATTCTAGAAATTACCAAGGCAGAACCTTCAGCACTTTCAAGAAGGCATGATTCTTACCCACTTGCAACACTTTAAAAGAGAAAATAGTATTGATATGAAACAAAAGTATTATTTGTGATTTATCTCCAAACAGAATCAATTATGTCCTAGAAGGAAATACAACAGGATACATGAAAAAAAGCCCAGTCATGTGACATAAAAAGCACTGGTCTTACTATAATTTTTGATAAAATCAGTTTTGTTACAACTTTTTCAACAGAAGTACATAGCTTAAAAATATTCCAACGGTATGATAGTGCATAAAGTAAAAACTAAAAGTCCTATACTCCCACAGCTTCTGGTTTTAATAACTACGAAGAGTGCCATCGTATCTTAATTTGGTAAAGTTTCAAATTGTTTCTTCAAATTTTTTTCAAATAAGTATATATTCATATCACCTTAAATAATGCAATTATTCACCTATTCCCCTCTTGTGAGTAGAGGGTTAATGTGGGGCCCTGGCTGATGGAGCTGCCCTGACACCCACCTGGGCCTCCCACTGCGCTGCGGCCTGGGAAAGAGTCAAGGAGAACAGGGAACGGTGGGTTGGCCTCATTGGGTTGGGGAAGCTGTTGCATGCCTCTGGGGCTCTGGGACTAGGAAGACATAAAAGGTTAGCAAGAAATAAGGGCAGTAGCTTCCGTGGGTCAGCGGGAGCTCCCACACACCTTGGCTCTCCTCTGTGGTAGCCACAAGCACCCCGTGTGGAAGAGAAGACAAAAGAAGCTGTGTGCTTTGGTAGCTGCTGAGTTCCCAATGAAATGAGGATGCTGCGTCTCCTATACGGTGTCCTCTACGGCTAAGTAAATGTGGTATTAGACCAGTGGGGCTCAACCAGGGCAATTTCCATCCTCCAAACCCTCCCAGGGGACATCTGCCATAGTCTAGACACACTTTTAGTTGTCACACCCAGGAGAGGGAGACCACTGGCATCTAGTGGGTAGAGGCCAGGGCTGCTGCTAAACACCCTACAGTGCACAGGACGGCCTCCACAACAAAGAGTTATCCAGCCTAAAAAGTCAGAGCCCAGGTTGATAACCCCTGTATTACACACTACAGCACACTTATGTCTTGTTTCTCTGCCAATTTGACACTGTAATCACAGCTACGATGCTGCCCCAAGAGCTCAAATGTAGACAGTGGCTCTTAACATCCGTGATAAGAAAGATGAGGAAATTCGCATATCACGCTTGCTACCACCCATCTTTCAATAAACTTTGTAGTTATATTAGATGCGTTTTAGTTTTTAAAAAAATTTTATTCTCGATTCTGAAATTATAATTATGTTTGTAATGTTTCATCATAGGTTGGTTCTAAAATAAAAACAGCTAATAATTTTTTAAATCTTCCATTTTTTCTTTTTTACCCAAACAAGATCCAGATTCTAATTTGAAATTTTTTTCTTCAGAAAAGCAAAATGTATCGGTCAACTCTTAAAGTGCAGCTAAAAAAAGCAAAACTAATGCTAAAAAGTGGAGCAAAATAAAAAAACAAGATTAATTTTTTGGAGGAAACAGTTGTTTAAATTGAAAAAATTCATAAAATAATAAGCAATAAAAATAAGAGTATTAATTACATAATTATAAACTTTCAAAGTCAATCAGTAATCAGAATGGGATGGAAATGGCTAATCTTTGTAAACTCTGAAAAGTGTAGGTATTTTTTTTTTTTAATTTTATTTATTTATTTTTCCCCCAAAGCCCCAGTAGATAGTTGTCTGTCATAGCTGCACATCCTTCTAGTTGCTGTATGTGGGACGCGGCCTCAGCATGGCTGGAGAAGCAGCGCGTCGGCGTGC